CCCGTTTCAGTGGCCAGCCCATGAATTCTAACTTCTACCAGTTCGTAATTTAGCGCGACCCTAGCCATTGTCGTAGGTGGGACATCCGTCCTCACACGTGACATTTGGATGGACATCACTGGTCACGACTTCTCACTAGAACTCACTCCAGGAAACTCCATCCTGTAGCAAGTCACTAGCGAGCATCAGATTAATTTTCTATAGTTTGGTTTGTAAGGGTTAGTTTTGTTTTTACGAGTTGATCATGGACTGATATCAGTTAGAGAAGCATTGAAAACCAACCAGGGATTACTGGACAGCTATATTGTCAGACTAGTTTGGGAATCATCAGCAGTACGCACCTACACTGTGGGGTTCGAACCTAGGACGTTCCGGTTATAAGGCAAGCTCGTATACCATTCAGCCATTGGGACCCGATTCAATGGCCCGTGAATTCTAACTTCTCAAGAGTTTGATATAAGAATAAAACTTGTTCACTGTGGTGGAGTATAACTCCATTATGGGTAAAATTTGTTTTGATAAAGTTTCACAGTGTTGTTATACAGTAATGTTTATTGATGACCACATTTCGACCACAATTTATTACTACTCATAGTCATATCAAGGCAGTACTCACACAACTTTCTAACTCTATTTATATAATTCCATTATTTCAATTCATCGCTTGACTTGATTGGTAGTAGCATTTTCCATATTTCCGGTATGAGTGATGAGTCATTCCTAGTGCATGTGTTTGGTGTAGACTCGATGAACAAGGATTCAGTAATCCATCTCCCTCGCTCTCCACCTACCTATACTACTTCTTAGAATTTTGACTCTGTCCCACCGATCCTATTTAGTGGTTGTGTGTTAATGCATGCAGTGCGATTGCTGAGCTTTCTTCTAAATTACTTATCTTCTCGGGGTCAACCATTCTTACCTTAGCTAAATTCTTATGTTCCGACAATCTGACTACCCTGACCTACCAGTTTGCCCCACGTAGTTGACCTCACTCACAGTCATTGCAGGGTATTTTGTAAATTACATTATTCTGTCTAATCGAGTCAGCGGGGTCATTTAACCTACAGAGCTTGTCCTGACTGAGGGGGTTTGTAGGTTTAACTGCCACTCTAATTCCTGCTTTATTCAGGGTCCTACATAGGGAGTGTCTCAGATGTCCCCTCCTTATATGGTATAATAGTAGATGACTTATATTCACTCTTATGTTATCATTACTAGTTTCACAATAATAATAATGGAATTGTATAAACGAAGTTAGAAATTTGTGTGAGTAGTGTCCTGATATGATTATGAGCAGGCATAAATTGTACTCAAAATGTAGTCATCAGTAAACATTACTGTAGATGGAACACTGTGAGACTTTCTCAAAACAAATTTTTCCCATAATAGAATTCTCAACAGTTTGTTTTGACCAAAGGAGCTAACATCAATTAGAGAATCGTTAGAAAACCACCAGCCAGTACTGGATATCTACTTCGGTATATTCTGGGACTCTTCATCAGTACGTACCCACTAGGATTCAAACCCACAAGGCTCTAGTTACAAGGTAAACTCATAGGACCATTCAGTCACTGGGATCCAGTCCAGTTGCCATTGAATTCCAACTTCTAAAAAATTGGTGATTTCAACACAACCTTGCAAAGTATCTCTTTTTGAAATGAATCTGATGCTGGTTAGTGATTGGCTACAGGACACAGTTTCCTGAACTTTCTGGTGAGAAGTCGTGACCAGTAGGGTCCACCATATTGGGTTAGTGGTCGCGCTGAAATCATGAATTTGTGGAATTTAGAAATCATGGGTCATTAGAACCGGTCTCAGTGTCCGGATGGTCTATGAGCCTGTCTTGTGGCTGGAGTGTCGTGTGTTTGGTTACTTGGAGGTGCGTGCTGATGAGGAGTCCCAAACTGTGACGAAACCGGTGCCCAGTAATCGTGTAACAGCGGAAGGCAAGACATGGAAGCCAAGGCATATTTTCAAGTGATCCAACAGCTATTAACATCTATACAGTTTATATTCGTCAACCAATCACTGAGCATGTGATTTTGGTTTATATTAAACGACATGAAATAGAATGTTCAAAAATAACATAGTGTTCCGTTACTAATTCACTAATGAACTGTGTGAATAGTATTCAGACATTAACACCAACAAATACAGTGATTCTTACTGTGAGAATAATATTCCGTTGGAACGCATTTTCTGTATCACACCACCACACTCCCTGTTGGTTTTCCAATGGTTCTCCTACTGATATCAATTTATTTCTGTCGACAGATCTCCTGGCCATAGCCACTGTAATACAATCGGTTCAGATACGTAGTGATTCTGGCAGGTTATTTTCCGTCTTGTTGATGACTTTAAAAGAAGACCTTTTTAAAGATAAAGTGACCACTATCGAACAGGTGTTCAGTTAATGTGCTTCTTATAGCTCCTCATCCATCCGCATCGAGAGACAGCAATACATCTAGCTCCAAGAGGGCAAGTGAACTCGTAAACAAACTCTGAGTCAGTCAACTGCGGGATCTTGTCCTTTAGATAATTGAAGAGTAGTAATCGACTAAACAAGTACTATTCTCATAGGTGGTATAGCGAGTAAGTAACGACCGAAATCTATGTGTTGTCGTCTGAACACAGGTAACCAATCTCAGTGCTCTACTACATAGCTAACCAGAACTTCCTTCGGTTACGTGAAGTCACAAAATGCTCCGACGGCAGCAGACAAACAGTTATTTGCGATAAGAACCTGTGGTTTATTATTATTATTGTTCCCTTGGGTTCCTAGTGGAACAAAGGGCTTCAACTGCACGTCTCCACTTGCTTCTGTCTTCTGCTGTACTTTTCACCTGCATCCATGTTAGTCCATACTGTTTCAACTCTTCTTCACACGATCTCCTCCATGTCACCCTTGGACGTCCCACTCGCCGCTTCCCTTTCGGGTTCCACTCGAGGGCCTGACGTGCGATGTCACCCAGTGGCCTCCTCAGCGAGTGTCCAATCCATCTCCACTTTCTCCTGCATATTTGTTGGGCGATTGGTTCTTGTTTTGTTTGTTCCCATAGTTTCTTGTTGGTGATTCTTTCCGGCCATCTGATCTTCAGTATAGATTGAAGACAGTTGTTGATAAAGGTCTGCAACAGGCTGTTGGAAATATTCTTTGTGACCCGCCAAGTTTCTGATCCGTATAGAAGAACTGACTTGACGTTTGTATTGAAAATCCGAATTTTGTTGTTGATGCTGAGTGACGAAGATTTCCAGATTGGTTTCAGGTTGATGAATGTGTTTCTTGCCTTCCCGATTCTCGATTTGACATCCTTGTCCGTTCCTCCTGTAGTTGAGACAATGCTCCCTAGATAAGTGAAAGAAGTAACCTCTTTCAAATCCCTCCCGTTGATGGTGATTGGCGCTGGATGTTGCGATAAGAACCTGTGGTACTATTTAATAATAATTACTTACCAAAAAGTCACAGTGTCGTTCGTTAGGCAGATGGTTTTCCAGTACAAAGCAATTACTGTACTACAACAAATCTAGTTAACCAAAATTCATCCGTAAGAAGTACCTGAGAATCAAGTAGAATATACCCAACAAAGTGGGATCATAACTATGTCAGCAGCAAGAATCACACACCAAACACTTGGCGCAAACAGCCCAAGGTCAGAATGACCTTTATTCACCCTCAAAAAAAATCGCTGTCATAAATGCAATAAGCTAACAATATCATCCACCTCACAACCACAAAGAGAAGCATTCAAATCAGAGGTTGAATAGGAACAAAGACATATAATAAGGATTAAGTCAACAGCAGCTTTGTTCCTCTTCAGTACAAAAGAAATTTAGTAAAGACCCTCAGCCACAGGGTTAGAGCTATATGATCAGAAGAGGTAACTGAAAATGAACTCAGCATTGTTTATGATACCCTAATTGAAAATAGCTATCCTGACAAATTTATCAAGAAACATATGACAAAGAAAGCGGAAAAGGACTACTCACTATCTGTAAACAAGAAGCCTTTATACATACGACTGCAATTCAAGGGCGATTTACCTAGCGAGATAATTACGAAGAAGGTAAGAAATCCAGTTCAAAGAAATTTTAATGCTGGCAAACTACAAGTCACATTTTCTACACGACCGATGGTGATTCCTCAATTGAAAGATGAAGTACCTAGACTAGCCACTTCTAATTGTATCTACCAATTCAACTGCGCTTGTAGTGGAGCGAGTTATATTGGCCATTGCTCTAGGAACTTGATTTTTCATGCTCACTTGGGAACATCTACCAGTGTGGCTAAGTAAAGGTGTAGTAAAAACCATTAACAGTTCGATATTAGACCATCTGGTGCAAACCGGCCGGCCACAAAGCCAGCGTTGAAGAATCCTTTTCTATCATCTACCGGGTGCCTAATAAATTGCCAAAATCATCGAAGCACCGCATGCTCCAAACAGCTGAGGCTATTGCAATTCGCCTCAAACAACCAGTGCTCTGTGTTCAAAAGAAGCAAGTCCAGCCACTACTACTACCCTGGCCAGCCTTCAGTAGAGACTATAAATTCATGAATTTGTATTATTATCTTTCCTAATTTTTCTGACATTCAGTTTATTGTTATGTTGATGCTATTGAGCTGTAATCTATTGATATTATTATTATTATGATTCGATGTTATTTAAACAACATTAATGTTGTTCATAACACTAATTCATTCACTATTATGGATGGATATATAACTGTAGAGCCTGATGATGAAGTTATCGAAAAGAGTATTCTTTGTTCAGTATCCATTCTTTTGAAAATTTTAATGGGCATTTTTAATCAGTTAATATGCAAACGTCAGAACAAATATTATGCAGTCTAGGAGGAGAATAGCTGTTAGAGTTTCCCTTTCAGAGATTTTGAGATCCTTCTTTTTAAGTAGTCAGCAGTTAGGTCACCTTTGAATTCGATTTCGTATCTATATTTTTACCAAGTTTAGTAAAGTTATCCACTCCTTTTCCACTCTGTTTTAGAATAAAGACGACTACAAATCAGAAAGTGATGCAGCTGAAGTCATCTATCTGCCAGGATGTGAAATCCAACCAGATCTATGTGTTTCATCAGAAAAATTCAATATTCGTTTATATGTACCGGTGTCACGAACGAATCTCCCACTGTCCACAGCATTTGCAACTAACAGTCATTTGGATGATTTACAAGCGGACGATGAAGATCCTACAGTCGGTACAAAATTGAAACGTAGAGCCTCCTTGCTATCGTTAACTTCACTGTCTCATTTAAGCAATGTACTCGGTATATCATCGAATGGATCACACAATGGACCTATCGGTGTCAGTGGTATCGGCGCATTGAGCGGATCGTCAGCAGCAATGACTGGTCTAGTCAATGAGCTGTGGTTACGCTTCCCTAGTTTAAATGATTACATGGATTGGTTGGCAATATTTCGAATCACTACAGCTGTCCATTCGACAGTTGTGCCTAGCCTGTGTACAGATATGCCAGACGCTGCTGCTGGAACTACAGGGACAAGATCAACCAGTCCAGCAAAGAGGCAGAGGAATATTGCCTCATATCTATTGAATCGTGCAACATTCGATGCTGAGCGTAAAGCTATCTCGAATTTGATGCATTTAATCTCACCCAGCAGTTTTAAAGCCGATCAAACTGATAATATTGTCAATGTGACAAAGTTGCATAACTACTTGGAAAAACGCCTAATCGATATGCTCCCGTTACGATTAGGTTATATGAAAGGTTCACAAAGAACCTGGGATTATAGACGGGATCAAGTGGATACACTGTCAAGACGTTCAGCAACTATACTAAGTCAAGATAAACCGCCTATTCACCCGTCGACGAATCAATTTATGCAGGTTGGTTATGCTTTTTTGTCAGTATTGATTCGTTCATATTCCAATTTTTTTTCTACTTCGAAATGAAGAGTCTTCTGAACACTTTGGTATGTTTGGCATCCTGCTGCAAGTCTGGTCTTCGCCAACTCCTGTTTTCGGAGATGAGAAGTGAAGTGGTTTAGCATGTTGACCATTTCACTTATTTTGACAATTGTAGGTAGTAGCCCTGAACGGACTGAATTCTGACAACATTTCAGCACGGATACAAAAGACTCGTGTGCTTTTCGCCCACTTAAGTTATCTCCGACGTATACATGATATTCGGCTATCCGTCAGAGGGCATATGCACTGATCAGCAGTTCCCTCTATACATCTTCATAGCTGTGAGACATTGTCGTTGAGAGTGGAAGCATTGAAGAGGCTAGGAGTCTTTGACCGCTGATGTGTGCATTCTATCTCCCATGTTAAGCGGCATTATATGGTGAGTTGTATTGAAGTTAGGCACCAACTTTCAGATAAGGAGTGCAATTCAATCGATGAGGTTGTAAAGGTATGTCGATTGAAGTGGCTAGGACATATGCTACACACGCCAATCCATCGCCATCCTATCCGAGCGATTTTAGTTGACATTGGATTAGGTTGCAAAGGAGTTAGAAGTCTTTAACTGTTGGTTTGAGCCACCTAGATAAGGGGTGGGGATCATCGAATTGTTGTCAATCGCTTAGATCGATATGTAGAACTCCTAGATCCATCAAATTTCCATTATTCTCTGTGTAATTACTCTTGTAACAACAGAAGACAAGGGCCAGGCGACAGATCGTTTATTAAGGAAATCAACACATATTTATAGCCTTTCATGTACATTGTTATAGATTATTGTTAGCAGAAAAACACAGTCTTCTGATTGGTTGTTTCTCACTGAAAAAGTTAATCTTTCATCTCTTTGTGGCTGTTTCTTGAATATCAGATCATCTATATGCTAACTGTATCCGCCTACGCAAAGTCTGCTGTGGTTGGTTGTTGAATCAGTCTTTGTTCATATTTTTCTCACGACCAATATTGAGGACGTAAACATTGACGTAAATTTACTGTCTACCAATTTCGGCTAGCAGCCAGCTCTCACCACACTCTTACTCCCGTACATTTCTGTTCATTATAGTTGCCTTCATTGTTTTTCCCACCTTTATATGCTATAGGGAGTTTGACAACTTGAACCGTTGCTCCCCTGTGCAAAGTCCTGTGTTGCGAACTCAGTCAGTCAGATATAGCAATGTCTGTACATTAAAATCTGAGGTTTTATTGCAGCGATAAAATGTCTCATTTAGAGGAATAAAAATTCGTAACACTTTCGCCAGAATTTAAGATGACCGGAATGTCCGAAGTTCTGCTCAGAAGTCGTGACCAGTGGTGTGCACTCGTCAGTATCACCGACAGTGGTTGGCACTACACTTTTGAGAATTGGCGGGATGTGGAATTCATTAGATGGCCATTGGATTCCATACCTGTGGCTCAACAATCAATGAACTCGTCTCTTAACCTGAGGGTCATGGGATTGATTGCTAGTGGCTGAGATGATGGGTGCATACAGATGAAGAGGGCCCAATAAGGACGGAACAGCTGACCAGTACTCTCTGGTTTTAAATGGCCTTCTAGCTGATGTCAATTAAATCTCTGCAAATCAACACTTCAAAAAAATTTATATTTTTGTTTGAATATCGTTCTCAAACAGTTTCTATTGGCAACCATTACGAACAGGTATTTTTACAGAATTTCCTTACCCTCTCTATCTTATAATGTCATTCACTGTTCATTCTTTCTCCACTCTATTTATAGACTCGTAATAGCCTTATTCAACGTGTCTCATCAACATACACACAAATATACAATTTGACAAGCCTGCAAGCTAAACTAAAGTATATCAATGCCTGGGAACAGTTACGTCAACATGGGATTGTCTTTTTCCCAGCACGCATTGAAGTGACTGTACCGCTGAATAGTATCTTAGGCAGTGGTGATGCATGCTCCCGATCTGAATATGGCGGTACAAGTGGTTGGATCCCTGGGATCAATAGACCATCGAGCAGTGGGAATGTCACTGTGTCAATGAGTCGGAAAGCTGAGGCTGTGGGAATCGGTGCAACAAGAATTTACCGGTGTGATTTAAGCAATGGAGAAATATTAGCCAGTTGGAGAATGTCAACAGTTCAAGGTTGGCATATTAATTGGGAGTTGAGTGAAGTTGTGCTCATGTTAGCCAGTCAATTACATCATCAACAACAACAGCAGCAGCACCAACAAGTCCAGTCTAAAACCGACCATTACACAACAAAGTCATCCGAGTGTTCCGGTCGAGTGATTATCCGGCCAATAGATGTATCCGTTAGAACTGTTGCTGAATTTCTCGGTGGTTATACATTTTTGAATTTAAGAGCTCCAGAGAAAAATCAATGTCTTGCTGAAGATACCTTTTATAAGTTGACCACGGGAATGCCTTTACCGCCAATATGAACACGTTGTATCAAATACTGTCGTATATACATACATCGTGTATCTGCATAGAATCAATGAGTGAACTATGAGGTGAACACAGCTGATATCCCAACTATCGATCCATCCTCCTCAGCAACACACTGTTTTTGTTTATTCAATCGGCGAAAATCATTTTCGGATGGAGATTTATGCTAATGTCTTTCAACTGCTAATTATTATTTGATTTTGATTACCCCTTCCCCCCCCCCAAGTCCCTCGTTTCAACCGCATGACATATACTCTTAGGCATACGCACACTTGCGAATGCAAACATACAGACACAAGTTTATAACCGCATTGCTATCTTGAATGTAATCTCTTTTCTCCCGAAATAATGTGCTCCCTTAGTTGAATGTGTGCGTTGATGTAACAGCAATATACATATATATATTTCTAGCTACTGTAAGTCTGTGTGTTTTCTTGTGTCTGCGTGTGTATGCGTGTTTGTGTGTGTGTTGACGTATTTCATCCACAACAGTATATCATGTATATATATTCTGATCAATATTTTAAAATCATTGATTAATCAATAATGCATTCATTCTTCAAGTTCAACTGCATCTTTCATTGTATCACTTTCAGCTGAAAACAAAAACATGACCTAATTATTGATTTATTGATTTTCTTTTTCAACTTTTTGTCAAAAACTTTTGTCAACACCTCCATACCATCCCCTCGTGCGATGCACTTTCCTATTGTATGGTTTTAAATTTTAAAAGTTTCTATTGAAAAATTTAAATTTTGAATTTTTAAAAGGTGGTTTCAGCCATCCATCTATCGATCCATTTATCGATCTTTCTTTCATGTTTACAATATGACACCGCCGCTTTCATATAACTTCTCTGTCTTTAAATAAACAACTGTCAGATATAAGTATTTGATGCAAAGTTTTAATGGTTATTACTAAAGGATACCGCCATCTTGATCCTCATCCCTCATTATTATTGTTATTATCTTCAATTTGTATGTGTGTGTTATTTTGCCCTGCACAGACAGATATAGAATTCTACGCGCCATTTGCCTCACTCTCCACTTTGTTTGTTTGTTTTTTCTTGTAAAACCCTTTTGTTTCTCCACCACATATCCTGTTGATTACTGTAACTTATTTAAATCCTGCTTTATTATTATTATTATTGTTATTATTATTATTATTTAATCGATATACAGGCAGTTATAATTGTAGCGTAATGCTTTACCAATCTATGGATATGAAATGTCTTCTGCTATGTGTTTGTTTCACTCTCTATTGTCACGTGGTATTAGTATTGATCACTGCTGGTGTGTGTTTGTGTGTGTGCGTGTGCATGCGTGCGTGCGTGTGTTATGAACTCTTTAATCCTTATTGTTCTGATTTTGTTGGTACCTCCCTCCCCCCCGCACCTTCTTTCTTCATTTTGTGGCTCCAATATTGTCTTCATTTATATTTATTTGACTTGATTTATCACAGAGATATTGATTGATTTATCGATTTAATTAATCAATGAGTATTATAGAATTATTATTATTATTACTAATTTTATGCGCTTGCTTTCCCTTTCTTTCTTTCTTTCTTACTGTTTTACTTGTCATGTGGAAGAACAGGAAATATAAGATGACTTCTTTGTGTGTGGGTGTCCGTGTCTGTGTTTATTTATCCTTCTTTTGTTATTTGTGTAGTGTTCACTAGTCGTGACCAGTATGGTCCACCACCAGTGTTGGGCATATGGGGACGGATACTTGCCGATGCCATTATCTGGTAGTAGGTTCTACTATATACATTGCGAAAAGAAAGAAGTTGGGATTGTAAAGGCTATTGGACTCTGTTACAATGGCTGAAAGCTATCTGAGCTCATCTGCAACCTAACTAGTCTTGGGTGTGTACTAACGAAGAGTTCTAAAGAAGGACGAAACGGCTGTCGAGTACTACTCCTGGTTTTCAGTGATTCTTTAACAACAACAAAATAAGTGAATGCATCTACGCCATCACTGAAGACGATTTTGAACCTTGTCAGCGATAGTCTCCAACTGTTGGTTCTTAGTATCCTGGAGTTCCCAGTGAGGCAGTCTACAGCCCCCGCACTATCACCAACGTTTCTGATTCAAACCAATTATTAAGGATTTTACGAATTAATGCCACGATCTGATTCCCTCGCCCCCCCCCCCGTGCTTCGCCCCTTGACTGTTTTTCAACCCATTCCGATATCAGCCAACGTTGCCCGTCGAAAAACAGGCGGTAGCTTAGCATACAATTCAGCTCACTCAACACGATGGTGTATTTGTTGTGTTTCAACTAAGCTGAAATTGAAAATTCTTGTTATTCCATTTTAAGGTGATGAATGGAACAGGTAAGACCGGCCGACGCACTCCCTTACCTCGCTAAGCCAGAAATAATGCTGGTAAAGAGGAAAGGTTGGGCATGAGGCTACCAACCCCATCCTGTGAAAATAAACACTGCTAAAGAAACTTCAAGCCACTAGCTTGAAGCCCTATGTTCCAGTTGGGGAACGTGAAAGAAAAAAAACATACTATGCTAATGACCAATCATATTTAATTAAATAGGTCAAGTCGTCGGTTTATGATAGACGAAGGTTGAAGTCGATATAAGTATAAAACTTGAGCACTGTGGTAGAGTATAACTCCATTATGGATAAGATTTTATTCTGATAAGTCACACAGTGTTACACAGTAATATTAACTGATGACGTTTCGAGCACAGACTATTGCTCATAATCATATCAAGTCACTCACACAACTTTTTCTTTCATTAATATACATGTGTGGAATTGACCAGATATTTGAATGAAAATCAGAATGTGATAATGTACATTCAGAAATAATAATATGAGTGTTATTGACACAATCAGATGGTAAATAAGACAAGTGTTTTTATAGTCATAATAAGTAACTTGTTTGAATGTTGTGATGTGTTCGATTGTTTTTTCTACAAATAGTCTATGATGAATGTGATTAATCCCCCAAAGTGCTTCCACCACCTTCAGTAACCTTGAATAGTTAGAGTTACATGAAATAATTGCGAAACAGTCATTAATATTGATTTTGTGACCTGACATCAATAAGTGCTTTGCAATGGATAATGATGGATTTCTATTCAGATTTATTGCATTGGGATTTTCTATGTTTGTCAATAACCATTTTGGAACACGTTCTTTTCGACGACCACATTGGAACATTCTATTGGTTCTACCTATATAAGTGTCACCGCAACAACTGCAAGTGAACTTGTAGATACAGTTTGAAGTACAGTGCACAGAATTTCGTCCTTTAATCGTACATACAAGGATCAAAAATGTTCGAGATGTGAGGGAGACAGATGCAGTGTTGAATGTGTGCTTGATGGCTGACCAAAGTCTTTGAGCTGTCAACTGCATAATCTGGTCACCATTGAATGGTAGGTTGTTAATAAAGATAGCTTTCTTTGGTGCAGAAGCTGCCTTTTCAAGATGTGGTCTATCCTTACTTTGACAATTGAAAAAGTTTTCTGGATAACTTTTGTAAAAAATTATATTTGTAAAATCTCAGCGAGATTGAAATGAGTAATTCCAACTTTTCGTTCGGCAATCTGGTCCAAACTTCTTCATGATGCACAGTCTGTTTAAAGTGTTTAACAAAGGTAGACCAATATTTGTAAGTCCGAGGTCAACTTTTGATCACAGCTCATAAAGTTTTGTTTATTATACTTGTAGATACTTGTTGAATGACTCATGATTGGACAAAGTTTTTAAAAACAAGTGATGTTCCTTTTATATATAAACCTCTGTTATGTTAATTTCGATTAATTTCCCTGAAGAAGTTAGGACCAGATTGCCGAATGAAACGTTGGAATTACTCATTTCAATCTCGTTGAGATTTTACAAATGTCTACTTCTTACTCGGCGCCCAAATATTTTAGAACTATTCTGTCAAATCTTGACGACAGTTCATTTGAATTTTCTGGATAACCATCAGTTAATAAAACTGAAGGTATATGTAGAAGTTCATCTATCAATGTACATATTTTGCAGGCCCTTGAAAAGAAACATTTCACTAGGGAGCGTTTATACTGGATAGGAATAAAACTGGTGAAATGTAGATATTGTCCCCTCCATGTCTGTTTACGAAAAATAGATCACTGAATCGTTCCATTGTCTCTCCTGGTCATTGAAATATCCAAGAAACCAAGTCTGTTATTCAATTCGAAGTCAGAAGTCACTCGGATATTTGAATGAATATGATTATAAATAGAGTAATAAAGTTTTCAATAGACTTACTATTATTATTACCAATAATGAGTGTATCATCCACATAACGTTTACATAGCATAAATTCTCCAAGAATACCTTGCATTTTAAGAATAATAATAAGAATAATTAACACTTGGTTCTAGCCTCGGTGGGAATATCATCACTCACTCACTGGGGAATGCGGGTGCATCCAGCTGGCAGACGAGTCCCAAGTAGGACGAAATGTGCATCCTGGATTCCACTGCTACTCACCAACCACCAATTAATAAAATAAGGACTGCCAACGTAGTAGGTTAAGAGTTACAAAAAATTGTTTTTGTATACACAGGGCAACGGGGAGAGCTTAATATATTACGAATAGCTATCGCCTCAATGTATTTCAATAAGCACCCTTGATGCTTTTCATAAATAACCTTTAAATTATGAATTGGACTTTGGTGTTCAATTTGTGTACACTAGACAATGCATGACAAAATTTCGGTCCAAGCGACAAGTAACCCAATTCAAATGCAACTGTTGTCGCTTGAACCAAAGTTAAGAATCCTAAATAAAACAATAAAAAAACAAAGAATTCAACGGAGAAAATTCTCTCTTCGACGATTTCATTTTCATAGCTGTACATTCATTATAATAGAGGTTTTTGTATCTCCCAATGAATGAAAAACAAAATGATATTGCTTTTACTGACGTTTCGCTATTTAATGTCAATAGCTTTATCAAAATGACCCCAGACAGACGAACGATGATCAAGTTAGTAAA